GAAAAAGTTAATATTATTTAGGAGATCTAAAAATCGATATAAGTATAAAAATTACAGTACCTATCCTTTATCTGGCACTAAAGTTACAGAATAACTACAGTTTTTAACTGTAATATTAAAACTAAAGATATATAAAAAGCTACACCGACTAACGCTCGCTTTCATCAACCACTCACACCACCAAATTTTAAGGAACCCCTTAACTAAGATAGGTGATATTAAACAACATTTTATTGTTCACCTACTTATAAGCAACTTAAGGGGTACTTTAGGTGCTACGTCTAATTTATTTTACTTAAGAGGCGGTTTAGGAGTGGTTGTCGAAATCGACCATAAACTTATCTATTAATGGCTTTACACACACTCCGGTCGCCGGGTCTCATATACCCGGCAACCGGAAATCATATACCTCATGTATATTATGAGATTATGACTATTATGACACTTCGCTCGTGGGTATCTGATACCCAGCGACCGGAGTGCGTGTAAAGGGTCTTATTTTTCTAAACATAGATCAAAATTAGTAATTCCTACGCCTTACCTTAATTTGTAAGAAAACATTTCGAAATTTTCTTACAAATTTTTCAATTAAACAGCTAACACGAAATCGGCTCTACGAATGACTTAAAAAAACTTAGATAAGTAATTTATACATTTCAGAGAAGATTTTAATTTAAAAATCCATCATATTTGTCATTTTGACACATTTTCAAAACACCGTGTTCTTCAATTCTCTGGACTATATAATACAAAGACACATAAGCATTCTCTAAAACTTGCCAAAAAAACACCAATCATTAAAAATACTAATAGAAAGAAAGACTAGCATTTTTGCTCAACAGATGGCGTAAACATACGATTTTTTTTGAAGGAGAAAAATCATTCGAAGCCTTCTGCCGGCTTGGATGAGGCGAGAGACAGTGTAACGACTCTTAGTGACTAAAAACCACACCGATCCTACTCCAACTTTGACCCAAAACCATTACGATTTCTTTATGGTGTAGAACTATACACGCCAACGAGCAGATCACCTGATGGTAAGCAATCGGCTTCGCCCATGGACATCCGCAGCACTAGAGAAGTTACTAGTACCTACGTTCCCGTCCTTTTAGTGATTCGGGGGATAGATAGGACCTTTGGAGATGATAGTTACCGTAATCAGGTACTTGCCAACTAGTCAAATCCAATACTTTTTTTCGAACTGTCAAAAACGACAGTTTTCTATGAATTTTGTACGAGATTGTGTATTGTGACGTCACACAGCATACTTATTACTTTGCTGGAAAAATACTATAATGAATGAAAGTGTGATTATTGTTTAATATTCTATTGTATTGAACAGTCGAAATAATATATTTTTGATTAAGAAAAGTACCCAATTGAACAAATAGATCTAACTCTACATTAACGCCATCTAGTGATAAAAAGTGGTAGTCCTCATTAGTTGCCGTTTTTTACTAAAAATGCAGTCAATTTCGCAGTGAAAACTGCATTTTGAGACTTAAAACATAAAAAGAGCAGTCTTATATTGACTTATTTAAATAAAAAAGAGATTTTTACTTGCCCTGAGATTAATATACTTAAAATAATCTTAATTCTATAAATGCAAAGTCTGGTCACTTCTTAGAATGTACAAATATAAGATTAATTATAGAAGACAGCAGAATCAGTTGTATATATATAAAATATAATATATTATATACATAGAAACAAATATTGTGACGTTCGAAATCTTACAAAATCATATATTTTACAATATCAGTAATTATTATATTGGTTGGCGCAATGGCTGGTCATCGGTTGCTAGACAACGTGTACCGGATTTGATTCCCGCGCAGAGCAACTCTTTGTGTGATCCACAGATTGTTGTTCCGTGTCTGGATGTCATGTATATGTGAACTTGTATGTTTATAAACGCACCCACGACACGGGAGAAAATCTTAGTGTGGGGCAACATCAATTTAGTTATATTTCGATTTAGTAATATTTCATGTTTTGAAATGAAGCAAATATACTTTAAATTAGAATATTTGTTCATATCTGTTTATATCAGAGATACAAGTATATCTCGTCTTTTATGGAATTCTTTAATTTTAAGCTGTCAAGTAATCACAAAATGTTATAAATTATGTTATTATTTCATAATAATAGTATTAAAAAAGGTGTTTAAATTACCTTATAACCTAGAAATTTCGATTCAACCCGGACGAATTATATTATTATAGGACGATTAAGATATACATATAGTCAAATACTATTTTGTTACCAAAAATCTTTTTTAAATTGATTTATGAACGTAATTTTTAATAAATTCACCACCCCTCCTCTTTCCGCGGGTGTGCAGAAGCCGACTATGGGACTTCATATTTGACCGACACACGAGCCGCAGCACTCTGTGATAAATCTCAACTTTTTACACTGCGACCTCTAATATGTTAATCAAGTTTGGAGAATTGCAGATCCTTTTTGTCCCATAATCCAGCAATGGATTTATTATTAACACGTTGAACGTCATGGGGGTCACCCGTGACCGGCGTTAGCGGAAGATTTACCTTCAACAGTTTTTTATTGGCAGTCAAAGTCTTAACTCAAAATTATTTAAAAATGATTTTTGACTAACAAAATAGCACTTTATATGTATATATAGTTACACATATATATTATACGGCGTGTAAAAAGAACGCTTCCAAAAATGAAGACATGCGATTTTTTTTATATTTGATAGGATGATGTTTGGCTTAGTGATAATAGTAAAAAATACGTTTTATTATCATAAAGCAAATAATTAAATATTTATTTTATGTAAGTATAGTCGTGGTGGCCGGAGGTTGAAGACGCCCGCTTCTCATTCATGAGGGTGCGGCTTCGAAACCTACCAACGGCAAGTACCAATGTGAGTTTTTCCAAGTTATATGTACTTTCTAAGATTATCTAGACACCACTGACAAACGGTGAAGGAAAACATCGTGAGGAAACCTGGGCTTATAATTTCTAATTATAAGTTTGAAATCGCCAATCCGCACTGAGTAAACGTGTTGATTAATGCTCAAACCTTCTCCGTGTGAGAAAAGGCTTTGCTCAGCAGTGGGCATTTATAGGCTGTTGATGATGATGTTCAACTGCTCAATGCTGATGTTTCACAAATAACACGATAACGTAACCCCGAAGGGGTAGGCAGAGGTGCACATTTCGGCACTGTACAATGTTACACCCACTTTTCACTATTTATAACATGAAAACCAGAACGATTAAAATTGTTATTACAATTTTTTGTGTTTTTTTTGGAAGCGTTCCCGGTTACACCCTGTATATAGTTATACATACATGTTTTTTTACTATATATTATATAATAAACTTATATATCAAAAATGGCTACTCTAACTATACATTTCAGTCTTAATTCCTAATTCTATATACAAATGGCAGTATCATTTAGCTTCAGTTTTTTTATATAGACATACCTTATTTACTATTATATATTTTTATATGTACAATGTGATGTTTTATAACTTATATTATAGACTAGCTACTTCCGCGCGGTTTCACACGCTCTGCTCAGCTCCTATTGGTCGTAGCGTGATGTTTTATAGCCTATAGGCATCCTCGGTAAATGCGCTATCCAACACAAAAAGAATGATTCAAATCAGACTTGTAGTTACGGAGATTAGCGCGTTCGAACAAGCAATCAAAAAAGCAAACTCTTACGCTTTATATAATAGTATAAGATTAGATTTTACGGTATAATCCCATCTATATCGTTGTAGAATTTTATTAAAATTGGATCACTAGTTTCGGTGTTACAGCGATGGTTCTTTGTTACGATTTTGTGACAAATTTACTGAACCAAGTTAGATGGGTTTTCGAATAGATGTGATTTGGGACTTGAGTTATATCAATTTGGTTATTCTTTCGCAAAAATATTACATGTAATTGTCAGAGAATGGTCCTAAGAGAACATATATAAGAGATTTTGAGACCAGCTCGCTCTTATTTGATTTTTTCGAAACATATTCAATATCAAAGCGCTAATAAATAGTATTTTTTTTTCTTCTCCTCTTATAATATCTTCTGATTCACTTCGTTGCGGGAACCAAGACAGTTATTTATGTCCCTGGGATGTACCGGACTTCAGTGTTCCGGTGTTTTCATGGTTGTATCTACTGTAGATCCTGGCTTACAGGAGTTGCAGCGGTTTTGGGAGGCTGTGGCGGGCTTGTCCCAATTTAAAAAAAATAGTAAAGCGTTGCGTGTAAAGTCTAGTAATCACACTGTACACATAAAAAGTAACTAAAAACTACTTAATACCTAAATCTAATCTAACCCTAACGCGAAATATTAATAAATGCATCGAAATGGCTATATACTTACACTAGACAATTAAAATAATACCTTAACTTATGTGGCATAAGGTTGATAATAGAACAAAACATATTTTAGACGGCTTTACTTAAGATAACTAGAGCAATCTAAATTAAATCTTATTGATATCAACCTTGAAGACTTATATTAAAATGTGTTTTAATTTTTCATTGCAATGCCCCAAATTTTAGACCATTAAAGTCAATTTCTGTTGTCAAAGTAAATTGAATTCTATGATGTTGATTTTAAAGTACTACTTAGCTGCCAATTAGGTATGCAATCAAAGATATACCTTAATGATTTACAGTCTTAGTTCATTTTTCAATAACATTTAAAATCATTGGACATTAATCTTTGTGGCAATAGTATTAAAGTCGTTAATCAATTTGTGATGTCTCGTTAGGCCTGCTAACTTCATTTTCTAACAAAAATCTAGTTAAAATACTTACATCAAAGGAAACTAAACCTTACATTTACAGAAATAAAGTCGTAAATGGTAATTATAACCATTAATTTACAATGCTCTTAACCTTTTCTAGGACTTTTGTGATGTGAGCTAAAGAAAACTAAACATAACAAAAAGTCGTAAAGCACATGAAATTATCAAATAAAATTCAACCTTATCATAATAGACATAAAGTCTATTCTTCAGCCTTGTCCTGTGACTTCTGCGACGTGTTTTCCGAGGTGATGTCTTTCAATATGTCGGTGATCTGGTCATATATCTCTGTGAACTGAGGTCGGTCGGATGGCGACTTGCTCCAACAACGTTTCTGCGGATAATGGGAATAAGATCTTAAAGGTGATTTTTCGTTACTATGAGTCCCCACTGAGGCTCGAAACTAGTCGGGGTACCTCGTCAAGCAGTTACGTGCGTAAATCATAATACATGATCAATTTAGATGTCCCACGAGAGTTATAATATAAGAATGTTTGATTAAGTTTCTTTAATGTAATTTTATTAACGTATATGCCTGGTATACATATTAATTTGAAATATCGTGTGACGTCACAGCGTGCCACATTTTGTAGCACGTTATGACGTAACGACCTAAACTTAGCGCCAAGTTTATCTAAGTATAGCAACTTAATACTAGAAAATAATAAAATACGTGTCTAATATTATTTCATTATCTAACTGACGGACTAATTAGATTTTTAATTTTGATACCCTGGAAACTACCCAATTATATGTTTGTTTGTAAACGGATATCCGAGAAAAACCTAGTGATGAAAAATTTACTTACAAGTAGTACTGCTAATGGCTCCGGCATCGAATCCGGGATCGTCCATTCGAGAGTGCCTGCTTTCACTCGCTCCAACACAGAGTTGTCGTTCAATTTTGCGAATGGCAACTCTCCTTTGGTGTAGATCTGAAATTTTAAATCATTACTTATATTCAATTCTATTATGTTTAATTATTATTAGACGTAGCAATTGGCATTTCATAGTCCCTGCCTACCTCAGTGGGAGACAAGCTGACGTTATGTATGTATGACGTATGTTTAATTACATTTTCACTTTTTTTTTAGGGGTGAAAATCATCCGATGTCATCTCCCAACCTGGGTAAGGCGGGTGTCAGACTCTTACTGACTAAAAACCACCCCGTTCCTTCTCCTACACGTCGAGCCGGAGCCCCGGTTACCCGTTAAGTTCGTATCGGCACATTTCACATGTGACTTATCTATATTAACCAACTTCAAAGTAAGGAGGTATCTTTGAATAAAATTTTGACTACCGTACTGGTAATAGGCAGGTACTTCTTTAACAAATTAAAAATCTTTATATTTTGCTTAACCCCGCAATAGAATACAAGAAACAACGCTTGCGTTATGTTTCGTCGTGTGAATGAGGATACCAGAGGGCCAATTACCCTCCCCCCCAATCTCCTCAATCCCTGAATTCCCAACAAACCTCAAATTCCTAATCTCTAAAAGGCCGGTAACGCAAGTGAAACTCTTCTGGTGTTCCGGGTGTCCATGGGCGACGCTGATTGCTTACCATCAGGTGATCCGTCAGCTCGTTTACCGGCTTATCCCCAATAAAAAACAAGACCATATTTTTGATTTCTGACCTTCAATTAGATGGTAAAAGTAATATTTTATCAGTTCGGGCGAACTGGTCTACTTGCGTTGAAAGCACTATCACATTTTTTAAATTTAAAAAACATTAAACGTTTTGATGTTTCATCGAAGCCTGTCTTTGTCCATTAGTGGGACAAATAACAAGTAATTGAATTCCCTACCTCCCAGACGGTGGCTGCGAACATGTAGACGTCGGACTTGGTGGAGTAGTCGCTCTCTAGCACCGCCTCGGGGGGCAACCAACGGAGCGGGATCACCTGCAACACGGAATTATCCCATGAAACACAAGTAATACATAAAAATACACAAGGTGTAGTTTTGAAGCCGTGTCATTTCTCGGGGGCACGACACAGAAGTCATAAAGGTTCAATGTAAGAGAAAGTTTCGGGCCAATAGTTAAAAATACGGCTATAGTAAATTGTTTAAGTTCGACAGTATTTCAGTATAAGCGACAGCAATGTTTCTTATTGGAGTTTTATGGAATTAGGAATAATATCAATTACGTGTTTGAGTTTGTGTGTGTTAAGCCGCGTTATAAATCTAGTTACAAGACGGCGGAGTGTACTTCGCACTTACGGATTTCCGTAATTTCAGAAAAATGAAAAATATTTACCTACAACTTTTTTTATTGATCCGGACTCAGAATCGATAGCCGAGTTACCTCCTAGAAAATGACGCGGCTTTAAAACAACATCTTGTATAATAACTATCGTGAGACAGACTAAATTAACTAAAAATCGCGGGTTACTCACGTAAGTATACTGAGAAAAGCAGTACTAGCAGAGTAGGCTGCGCGACATCGCCGCGACCGCGCACGCTACTCATGAGGAAGAACCCCTCTGTAGTTCGAAACTAGTAGAGCTTTTCTCGATATATTCACGTGAGTAACCCGCGATTTTTAGTTAAACTAAAAAATGCTTTTAAAATATGTCCGCGAAGATTATGATTCCTGTTTTATCCCATGGAAGTATTTCATCGGTATAAATAAAATCTTATCATCTAAGTCAGCCCATACCCTGGCTGTGTACCAAATTCATCAAATTCGTTCAGTATATTCAGCGTGATTGACGGACAAACATCCAAGCATACAATGCAATTTTCACATTTATAATATTAGTGTGATGATAAATGGTTATCATCAACAGCAGCAACAACCTATAAATGCTTGCGTTGTGTTTCGTCGTGTGAGTGAGGTTACTGGAGGCCCAATTACCCTCCCTCCCCAGTCTCCCGAATCCCCCACAATCCTCATATTCCCAATCCCCAAAATGCCGGTAACGTACTTGTAACGTCTCTGGTGTTTCAGACGTTCATGGGCGACGCCGAGTGCTTACCATCAGGTGATCCGTCTGCTCGTTTACCGGCTTATCCCATAAAAAAGTATATGAATGTGACCTGTTCATGCAGCTTGTAGTACTCGTGCGAGTCTGGTCCCCGGGTGAGGGCCGGGTACGACAGCTTCAGCTGCAGTTTGGACGTTATCACGCAGTTCCTAGCCGCTATGTCGCTGTGGAAACAAATATTTGTGGTTAGTATGAATTTATTTAGTTTTTCTGCATGCAATGTGTTCTGATTGGTGGCTTGTTCATCCGCGAGTCATTTAACATAACATCACGCCTTTTATCCCCGAAAGGGTAGGCCACATTTCACTATTTATGTTATGAGTCCCATGTAATAGGGGGTGAGCCTATTGCCATGCTGGTGTATACACATACAGAATACAGGTGTAGGGATACATACCGGTGTAGGGATACATGCCGGTGTAGGGATACATACCGGTGTAGGGATACATGCCGGTGTAGGGATACATGCCGGTGTAGGGATACATACCGGTGTAGGGATACATGCCGGTGTAGGGATACATACCGGTGTAGGGATACATACCGGTGTAGGGATACATACCGGTGTAGGTATACATACCGGTGTAGGGATACATACCGGTGTAGGGATACATACCGGTGTAGGGATACATACCGGTGTAGGGATACATACCGGTGTAGGGATACATACCGGTGTAGGGATACATACCGGTGTAGGGATACATACCGGTGTAGGGATACATACCGGTGTAGGATACATACCGGTGTTAGTGTAGATACATTCCGGTGTACTGTAGGGAAACATACCGGTGTAGGGATACATACCGGTGTAGGGATACATATCGGTGTAGGGATACATACCGGTGTAGGATACAAACCGGTAGGATACACCGGTGTAGGGATACATCCGTGTAGGATACATACCGTGTAGGATACATTCCGGTGTAGGGATACATACCGGTGTAGGTACATACCGGTGTAGGGATACATACCGGTGTAGGATACATACCGGTGTAGGGATACATACCGGTGTAGGGATACATACCGGTGTAGTATACATACCGGTGTAGGGATACATACCGTGTAGGATACATTCCGGGTAGGGATACATACCGGTGTAGGGATACATACCGGTGTAGGGATACATTCCGGTGTAGGGATACATACCGGTAGGGATACATTCCGGTGTAGGGATACATACCGGTGTAGGGATACACTCCGGTGTAGGGATACATACCGGTGTAGGGTACATGCCGGTGTAGGGATACATCCGGTGTAGGGATCATACCGGTGTAGGGATACATGCCGGTAGGATACATGCCGGTGTAGGGATACATACCGGTGTAGGATACATGCCGGTGTAGGGATACATACCGGTGTAGGGATACATACCGGTAGGGATACATACCGGTGTAGGGACATACTGGTGTAGGGATACATACCGGTGTAGGGATACATACCGGTGTAGGGATACATACCGGTGTAGGGATACTAACCGGTGTAGGGATACATACCGATAGGGATACATCCGGTGTAGGGATACATACCGGTTAGGGATACATACCGGTGTAGGGATACATTCCGGGTAGGGATACATACCGGTGTAGGGAAACATACCGGTAGGGATACATACCGGTGTAGGGATACATATCGGTGTAGGGATACATTCCGGTGTAGGGATACATTCCGGTGTAGGGATACATACCGGTGTAGGGATACATACCGGTGTAGGGATACATTCCGGTGTAGGGATACATACCGTGTAGGGATACATTCCGGTGTAGGGATACATAACCGGTGTAGGGATACATTCCGGTGTAGGGATACATACCGGTGTAGGGATACATTCCGGTGTAGGGATACATACCGGTGTAGGGATACATACCGGTGTAGGGATACATACCGGTGTAGGGATACATACCGGTGTAGGGATACATTCCGGTGTAGGGATACATACCGGTGTAGGGAAACATACCGGTGTAGGGATACATACCGGTGTAGGATACATATCGGTGTAGGGATACATACCGTGTAGGGATACATTCCGGTGTAGGGATACATACCGGTGTAGGATACATACCGGTGTAGGGATACATACCGGTGTAGGGATACATACCGGTGTAGGGATACATTCCGGTGTAGGGATACATACCGGTGTAGGGATACATTCCGGTGTAGGGATACATACCGGTGTAGGGATACATACCGGTGTAGGGATACATACCGGTGTAGGGATACATACCGGTGTAGGGATACATACCGGTGTAGGGATACATACCGGTGTAGGGATACATTCCGGTGTAGGGATACATTCCGGTGTAGGGATACATACCGGTGTAGGGATACATACCGGTGTAGGGATACATTCCGGTGTAGGGATACATACCGGTGTAGGGATACATACCGGTGTAGGGATACATTCCGGTGTAGGGATACATACCGGTGTAGGGATACATTCCGGTGTAGGGATACATACCGGTGTAGGGATACATGCCGGTGTAGGGATACATGCCGGTGTAGGGATACATACCGGTGTAGGGATACATGCCGGTGTAGGGATACATGCCGGTGTAGGGATACATACCGGTGTAGGGATACATGCCGGTGTAGGGATACATACCGGTGTAGGGATACATACCGGTGTAGGGATACATACCGGTGTAGGTATACATACCGGTGTAGGGATACATACCGGTGTAGGGATACATACCGGTGTAGGGATACATACCGGTGTAGGGATACATACCGGTGTAGGGATACATACCGGTGTAGGGATACATACCGGTGTAGGGATACATACCGGTGTAGGGATACATACCGGTGTAGGGATACATTCCGGTGTAGGGATACATACCGGTGTAGGGAAACATACCGGTGTAGGGATACATACCGGTGTAGGGATACATATCGGTGTAGGGATACATACCGGTGTAGGGATACATTCCGGTGTAGGGATACATACCGGTGTAGGGATACATACCGGTGTAGGGATACATTCCGGTGTAGGGATACATACCGGTGTAGGGATACATTCCGGTGTAGGGATACATACCGGTGTAGGGATACATTCCGGTGTAGGGATACATACCGGTGTAGGGATACATTCCGGTGTAGGGATACATACCGGTGTAGGGATACATACCGGTGTAGGGATACATACCGGTGTAGGGATACATACCGGTGTAGGGATACATACCGGTGTAGGGATACATTCCGGTGTAGGGATACATACCGGTGTAGGGATACATACCGGTGTAGGGATACATTCCGGTGTAGGGATACATACCGGTGTAGGGATACATACCGGTGTAGGGATACATTCCGGTGTAGGGATACATACCGGTGTAGGGATACATTCCGGTGTAGGGATACATACCGGTGTAGGGATACATTCCGGTGTAGGGATACATACCGGTGCGTGAACCTGTGCGCGGCGCACTTGGCGAGCGCGGCGGCGAGCTGTCCGCCCAGCAGCGCGCGGTGCTCGCCGCCCAGTGGGGGGGCCGCGCGCGACGGGGGAGGGGGGGCGTGCGCCGCGCCCACGCGGGATATGTACTCCGCGTTCTCTTCGGGAGTCCGAGTCGCTATTAGGAACTTCTTTAGTTCACCCTGTGAATATTAAATTATTAAGATATTCATATCAAATAATCCGCATCTTACAGTATTTTGAAAGAAATATGTTAGGAATTTTTTTATTGATTATAGTTATAACTCGATCGAAAATGGAGACAATGGTGAAAATCACCCCTTCCCCTCTAATAGCATAGCGTCTTATTTTCAAACATCCACCATTGTGCCAATTCAATCAGAACAGTATTGAAAATCCATTTAGAATATAAATGGTAAAAACAGTAAACAGTACTATATCCTATGTTCTCCACCCCAATCTCCCAAGAAATACAATACTTATAATAGGTTTTCTCACTGCATTTTTACCCTTTAGAGAGTTTAAAATGTAATTCCTTATTGCAAAACATTTTTTACAATGTATATATTTTGTCTTCATTTTATTTCAGTAGTACAAATGTATAATAATCTAAAATAGTGAATAATGTAACAACGTCCTGGTCCGCACCCAGTCGGTATGTTCCAGCAGCATGTAGTGCGGGGCGTCCAGGTTGCAGAGCCCCAGCAGGCGCACCATGTTGTCGTGCCGCACGCGGGAGAACAACTCCAGCTGGCGGCGGAACTCGCCCAGCTGGACCTGGAGAAAATAAGAAAAAAAATTGTGTTGTTATTCTGAATCCCCACTTATTATACATAAAAGTAGTCCATCCCGACTTTCCTCGGGTGATCGAGTTTTGATTTTTTATTTTACCTAAACCTACTGTACGAGTCGCTAGCTCGCACAGAAGTTTGTAGTATGTTGAGTGATATAGTAGGGATTCAGTAAACGAGATGTTGACAGGAAATAAATACACCGTATTGTATCCGTAATACTAAACGGAGTTCATTGTAAAAACTAATGAATAAATGTAGATGTAGCAATAAAGTAAACTTCATTTTAACTTTAAGTGTAGGAGAACCATGCTTCGGCACGAATGGGCCGGCTCGACCGGAGATAAAAAGCAGAAAACCGACGTGAACCAACGCTTGAGTTGTGTTTCGTCGTGCGAGTGAGGTTACCGGAGGACCAATAACCCCCCCCGTCTCCCCAATCCCCGAATCCCCCACATTTCGCAAATTCCTAATTTCCAAAGGCCGGTAACGCATTTGTAACGCCTCTGGTGTTCCGGGTTGTTGTCAAAACCTAACCTAAGAACAATTACTAGTTTTCTCCCAAACTTTCAAATACCTAAACCGCTACACGTGTAAACTATGAGAAACCCCTTATACTTAGTGGGTAACCCATTTAGCATAGGCATGTGGTTAGCAAGTCGTGGTGGCCCGGAGGTTTCAGACGCCTGCTTCTCATGCATGAGGGTGCAAGTTTGAAACCTACCAACGACAAGTACCAATGTGACTTTTTCCAAGTTATATGTACTTTCTAAGATTATTTAGACACCACTGACAAACGGTGAAGGAAAACATCGTGAGGAAACCTGGGTTTATAATTTCTAATTATAAGTCTGTAATCGCCAACCCACATTGAACAAGCGTTGGGATTAATTGCTCAAACCTTTTCCGTGTGAGAAGAGGCTTTGCTCAGCAGTGGACATTTATAGGCTGTTGATGATGATGTTAGCATTTCTTATCTTTCTGATTCTTCTTTATTAATTTCTTAACTCAATGTCTTACTTCCACTGTGACAGAGACACCTTTATTGTCTTTTTATATTTTATTTATGCTGCATCGTGCCTGGTGCTGAATAAATGTAGTTTCTTTCTTTCTTTCTTTCTTTATAGCACGATTGTCAAAATGTGGGTTGGTAATGTGTTCACCTCTGCTTAATTCTTTTAGGATTAAAAAGGGTGACGTCATGTTATGGGACTGCCTCGTTGGCCGAGTTGTCGCAAGTGCGACTGCTGGGCAAGGGGTCTCGGGTTCGATTCCCGGGTCGGGCAAAGTATTACTGGGTTTTTAAAAATCTCAGTAGTAGCACGGAGTCTGGAAATGTGCCCGGTATATGGCAATAGGCTCACCCCCTATTACATGGGACTCATAACATAAATAGTGAAAAGTGGGTGTTATTTCTATGTGCACCTCTGCCTACCCCTTCGGGGATAAAAGGCGTGATGTTATGTTATGTTATGTCATGTTATGGGCTTGTATGAAGTGCTTACCTCATCTTTAGCTGTGAGTGCTTTAACCAATACAGGCCGTAGTTTGGGCTCGCCCTCAGCGTCCAGGCTCTCCTTGTTACGCAACTTGTTCACCTGGCACATGTCTATCTTTGCCAGCATCACCTCGCCGAATTCTCCACGACCTGGAAGTTTTAATAGAAAGTATAGTAGTTCCAAATCTGGTTATATGATACTAAGCTACTTCCGCAGTTTCACCCGCTCTGCTCGGCTCCTCGCGTGATTATTTATAGTCTATAACCTTTCTCGATAAATGTACATCGGACTGGTAGTTCCGGAGATTAGCGCGTTCAAACAAACAAACTCGTCAGTTTTATGTATTAAAAAGTTGCAATGTTTATCAAATGACAAACAAAATTCTTAAATAAATTTGGAAGTATATGAACAAATATTATTATTTAACAAATATTTTATGGTTAATTATTATGTTTCCGGCTTATGTCGGAATACTGAAACGCTACTCAATTTTAAGTCTTGCTTAAGTATAGTTCTGTCACTACAAATTCTTTATAAAATGACAGAGATGGCACGATATTTGAGCACGACTTAAAATTGAGTAACGTTTCAGTATTCCGGCAATAGTCACGTAACTGTTTGATGAGCATATAGAACGAATATGAGCCTCTAGCATGGTTTGAAACGTCAAAAAACAATCAATTACGTGATGTAACATGTAAGCTCAATACATAACAATGAGGTAGGTACTTTCCTTAATCAAAAATAAATCATTTCGACTGTTCAATACAATACAATAATAAAAAATAATCCGGATAGAAAATAAGCCGGGGCGGGTCGCTAGTATAACATATATAATAATAATACGTACCCAGTGTGATCTGTTCAGTGAGTAGACTCCGTGGTACAGACAGATGCTCGAACTGACCAGACTTCTTAGACGCGCGAGATACGCCAGATACTTCTGAGTTATCTGCACCTGGATATAAACAAACATACATTTATTTATTTATACATGTATAGATAAAAGAAAGGGTAGGGGTTTAGAATTAAAACTTAGCTTCGCCTTGTATAACTACTACTGGTCTATTTCAATCATTTAATAACACAACATGAAACATCATCACGCCTTTTATCCCGGGGTAGGCAGAGGTACACATTACGGCACTTAATGCCACTGTACAATGTAACACCCACTTTTCACTATTTATGTTATGAGTCCCATGTTATAGGGGATGAGCTACGCACCTGTGACTCCTCTGGTGTTCCAGGTGTCCATGGAGAGCGCAAAAAAATCTCAGTACTAGCAATTGTGCCCGGTATATGGCAATAGGCTCACCCCCTATTACATGGGACTCATAACATAAATAGTGATGAAAAGTGGGTGTTACTTCTATGTGCACCTCTGTCTACCCCTTCGGGGATAAAAGGCGTGATGTTATGTAATGTAGTTTAAATATCTGAACTTAGGTTTACTCGGCATTTTAATATTTTTAACTAAGAAATAACAGCTGGTTTAAACAGAGACAGTAACATACCGCTATCCTTATCATGCGCTAACAGTCTGCCGTTCTGCAAGGCGGCTCCGTTGACCTTCTGCTTCTCTTCTTCACCATCTTCTACCAACTTCTCTCGTCCTTCTGTCATCTCTAACTCCATTTTTTCACCTTAAAATAGAAGTGTACATTGTATAAGAAAATATTTTTTAGTAAATGCGTTGGGAACTCCATTAGCCATGATTATCTACTAAATTTAAAAAAAAAAATGTACAGTAAAGAAAAAAAAATTAAAGACATATTTCTTTCTATAATAAGCTAAGTTTTGCCAGCGGCTTCGCTCGCGTATTTGTCGGATAAAAAAATACAGTCGAATTGAGAACTGTACTTTCCTTAATCAAAAATAAATTATTTCGACTGCTTAATACATATAATAAAATATGAAACATTTTTACACTTTCATTAATTGATTTTATGAACAACTTAATTTTAGTACTTTTTCAGCAAATTTTAAAAGAAACAAGTATGCTGTTTAACGCTAAAAAAACGTGACGTCACAATACACAATCTCGTACAAAATTCATAGAATACTATCGTTCTTGACAGTTCAAAAAAAAATCTTGAAATTGACTAGTTGGCAAGTACCCAATTAATTATAATAACGGGTATCTAGTAACTCATCCGAAATTATTCACCCATCAAAATACTGAATGCGCTCACCTCTCTGCCGCCTCCGGAGCCTGCGCCTCCTGCAGTAGACCATCAGCGCCAGCACCAGCACCATGTAGGCGCCCGCCACCGATATAGACACCACCACCGCCTTGCCTGCTACTCCACTTGACTCCTGGGGGGGCAGCTCTCCTTCTGCACGACAAAAGATGTTTCAAATTATTTGTTGAATCAGAATAACAAATAATATAGATTTTTAAACACATAAAAATAATTACAGCGCCTTAGATTGATGACTTTTGTAGCTAAAGAGAAATAAGTATGCTATTTAAAACAACGCACTATATCGCACGAAATTCATAAATGATTAAATTGTAGAAAAAGTAATATATATACCACCAAAAACATTCTGTAAAAAACTGATGGAGATGCTAGTTAATCTCTAAAAAGTAATGAAATATAACAAAGTCGTGTCAAGTCTAAGGTTCCTCATTGCTATTTCATTATTATTATAGTTAATGCTGTGTGACTTTGCCGTTAAGGGGTAATCACATTTTCCAAGTGCCAATTTTCCATCTCCAATGGGTAGCGGTTCTGGCGACATGGACCACCTGGTTTTGTACTCTTGTGTACTTTGGTTCTCTGTACCAAATTTCAGCTCTTTTTTTTATTAAACCCAGTAATACTTAGCCCGACCAGGGAATCTAACCCGAGACCCTTTGGCCGGTAGTCGCACTTGCGACCACTCGGCCAACGAGGCACTCAATTTCATTACATTGTTGAATAAATTCTAGTTAAACAGAACCTAACGGGTAACCGGGGCTCCGGCTCGACGTGCAGGAGAAGGAACGGGGTGGTTTTTAGTCAGTAAGAGTCTGACACTCCCTCCCGCCTCACCCAGGCGGGAGCAGACATTCGATGATTTTTCCCCCCTTAAAAAAAAACATACCTTGATGCACAATAAGTTGTAGTTCATGTCTCGCGAGTCCGCCTGCATTACCGGCCGTGCAGCCGTACTGCTCCGCGTCCATTGACGACACGTTGCGAATGATTAGAGTACCGTTGTTCAATTGTACCAATCTGGAAATACAGAAAAAACATTTAGCAATTAGAACATACATATATAACTTCACGGCCGTCTCTCATGGGGTTAGGCAGCGTCTATGGAACGCCAATTGCTATGATTTCATTAACACTATTATCAAATATAACTTCTTACGTCCACCGTTATTTTGTCTGAAGACTTTTAAATCTTATACTGTTATGTAAAGCTAAAAAATTCATTTGTTTCTTTGAACGTACTAATCTCAGGAGCTATTGGTACGATTTGAATAATTATTTTTGTGTTAGACAGTCCATTTATCAAGGAAAGCTATAAAAAATCATTATAGGCTATAAAACATTCACGCTACGACCAATAGCAGTAGAGCAGAGCGAGAGAAAAAGTAGCTAATCTTATATTATTGTATAAAACTGAATACTTTGTTTGTTGGACTGCGCTAATCTCAGTAACTACTGATCTGATTTGAAAAATTGTTGTTGTGACGGATAGTGCATTTATCGAGGAAGACTATAGACTATAAAACATAACTTTAAGATCCATCCGAGGTAAGCAGAGCGGGTGAAATAGCGCAGGAGTGACAAGTAAAAATATAAATGAATGATACCTTGCTGTAGAAGCATTCACGCTGTCTTCTACCTCCAGGCCGCCATCTTCTGGGAAAAAATTGCATCTGTTTTTAGTATTAAGTATTCAAAAAATACTGTATTATTAACTAAAAAGTATCTACATATATACAAACGATCCCCTTATGACCTTTCCCCTTGGTCACGGCATCACTGGGAGTTACATTGAGTGAGTAATCTGACCTCATGGCATTCTATATCCGTACAAAGTAGGTGATGGTTTTAAGTTATTGATTACACTTAATACTCATAAGTGGCTTATTTTTTATCATCATCATCATCATCAACAACAGCCTATAAATGCCCACTGCTGAGCAAAGCCCCTTCTCATACGGAGCAGGTTTCAGCATTAATCACCACGCTTGCTCAATGCGGGTTGGCGATTACAAACTTATAATTAGAAATTATAAGCCCAGGTTTCCTCACGATGTTTTCCTTCACCGTTTGTCAGTGGTGTCTAAATAATCTTAGAAAGTACATATAACTATGAAAATGTCAATTTTTTATAAACCAATTAAAAATAAGTCTTCTAGGTAAAAAAGAGACGCATTTTTAAAGATTGAAGATTAGAGAATTAGTGAATAAATGAGAGGAGTGGGGAGGGGGGAAGGAGGGGTAAGCGGGAGGAGGGGGAAGGGGAGGGAAGAAAGAAAGAGTTTTTAAACTGACTTCAAAAAAGAAGGAGGGACTCACGTTGTTTCCCCAATTTATCAAGGTTTCTCCCATCCCAGTGCGTGGTGGGGGGCGGGTCCCCGGTGGCCACGCAGTGGAGGACGACGGTCTGACCGACTGTGACGTGCATCTGTTGTCCGGGGGACGGCTCTACTACTCGGGGCGCCACTGAAAACAAGGATATAGAACAAGTTATTTAACTATTATAGTTATGTATGTTTTTTTTTTTTTTTTTTTTAATATTATAAATTATTTCTCCACGGACTCTAGGTCCGTGCCCTTGTCATACAGTTTTTTAATTATAATACATCTAGTCAATTTTTATAAAGTAAAGAGGGAACCTAGTTACACACTACAATTAACTACATCTAAAAGTATTACCAAAAGTATAGGTTACATAATAATTAGGCACTATTTATTTATTTCTATTTCAAAGGCTTTATGAAACCAGCCCACCAACAAGATGGGAGAGCCGACCTGACCCAGCAGAAGGCACCCGTTCACGAGTATGACGTGTGTGTCAGCAATTGGTCCGGTCAACCTTTTTATAGTTATGTATGTTATATTATTATTATGTGTAATGCTTGAGATCGCGCGACGATCTCCGGCCACTGTAAGTGCGGGTCTGCGGACGGCGAGTAAGGGGACCGCTCGATCAGAACCAGACCCGAGCGTACGGCGTGTCACGTTCCGCGCGCGCCTTAAAGACCCATCAGACCACCATAGATGGAGCCCTGTAGGGCTGATGTCCAATACGGAGCCGCGGAAGGCCTAACGGGTTGCCGGGGCACTGGCTCGAAGTGCAGGAGTAGGAACGGGGTGGTTTTTAGTCAGTAAGAGTCTGACACTCCATCTTACCAAAGCGGAAGAAGTCATTGGATAATTTTCCCGCCACAAAAAAAGAGTCATCTAGTGAGTAAAAATACGGAGGACCCCATTTGTTTAAGGGGGGAAAATCATGGATTGACTTCTCCCGTATGGGTGAGGCAGAAGACCCCACTGGAGTACAAGTTTGTTGATCTTTAAAGAAAAAGTCTCTCACCAACAACATCAAGATTGATCTTAGCAGTAATGGATCGGTCTCCATCGACCGCCTTGCAGGTGTATTGTCCGGAGTGACGCCTCTCCGCGTCCGCTACCATCAGCGTGCCATTCGCGGAGGTCACGCCCTCTGGTAGTGGGTCCTCGTCGTTCTGGAAACAAATTAGGTAATTAATTATTATTAGTTGAATTAAACATTTTATTATTAGTTGAATTAAAAATTTTATAATTAATTTGTGTAATTAATTATTTAATTTTGTGCCTTTCTTGGGTTCATTTTGTAGATATATTTATAATTGATTTGAATTGTATATAAAAAAGCGTTTCGAAGTATGTTGTATTACTTTCAGGAAAATTTAGACAAGAACTTTAAAGATCTTTTTATACCTATAATCTCTACAGAAAACAAGCTAAATTAAATAAAACTACTCGCATTAGTTCATTATTAGTTAAAACATACAATTATATGTTTCATACATTCAGTTCATTTCTAAATTATTTCGAAGCTAGATATAAAAACTGCTACTTTCATCTCTGCACTGCTTAAAGGTTGACTGGGAGACAATGCCCAAGGCATTAAGTCCACCTGTACACACTTGTTGTATGAAGTTGAAAATAAATAAATAAGTAAAAACATACCAAAAACCATTGTACTGTTGGAGCAACGCCGCCAGCAACCTTACAATGTATTTTCCCAGAAGTATTCAATTCCAGATTCTTGCTATACGGCTCCGGTTCAAAATGCAGCTCGCCATCTGTTGAGGAGTAGACGTACTAATATAGTTCAAATGATAAGTAGGAACAGCGCCACCTATTGGTGAAAAGCCGAGACGTGTTTGATAACTTTGCTAGTAGATGGCAGCAGTGACTGCATGATTTTGTTTGTAGTAATAATATTGTTATCATTATAATTATCTTGTAAACAGTAGAAAACAATGCTAAGTACTGGCAATTGCAGTAAATAATTCTAACTTCGAGCATTATCTTGGCTTTTTAACGTAATTATACTGTTTGGAACAAGTCGGGACCCTTTTTGAAGGACATCAACTTGAGCTAAGGTCAATATTTGCCCTTCTCCGATGTAGGGCGTCCTTGTACAACCGAACTTATCCTTCGGTAGCAATAAATTGTAATTAACGAAGTTTTTACGTATTTATTACAGTTTTTCTAACGTTTGTAGTGTAAATAACGAAAGCAAAAGTTGCTTGCTAATTCGAGCGTAATTTAAAAACGGTTATTATAGAAAATGTGTTTACAAATCTATTTTGGTATTTATTTCAATCTAAACATAGACATTAAAAAGAATAGGAAGTTTAATAAGTAGTCATCGCGAACTTTCATACGTAGTCATCGCTTTTAAAGTCAACGTTACGAGTGTAATTCGAGGGTCTGGGTGTTATTGTGTATGTGAACTTGTATGTTTGTAAACGCACCCACGACACAGGGGATAATCCTAGCGTGGGGCAATGTTTTTTAAAAAAAAAATAATAATAATTTAAGAACCGTTTGTGATCAACAGTGATGTACAGGTAGGTACAGTTTTTATGAAATATATGCAAGTAGAATAGCTAGACGCAAGCGCCAACGCTAGCCAGCCAGTAGGCTGCGCCGGCTGCGCGATAGGAAGAACCCCTCTGTGGTTCGAAACTAGTAGAGCTTTTCTTAGTATGTTCACATGTGTAACCCGCGATTTTTAGTTAATTCAGAATAACTAGAGTCTATAATATTTACCATTAACTGCCCGGTGTCGTCTGCTAGCTCTGTGGTTGCGTATTCTATGAGCGGAGTGATGCACTACATCTATAACAAAGAAAGAGACAAACATTAAATTACGGACTTAACAATAAATAGTTTTACTGACAAAATCACTGGTGACCTCCTCCAGGTCATAGCTATAGGCATAGCATAGGCATAGCTAGCTAGCTATATGACCTGGCTAGCATGGCATAGCTTCCAGCTAGGAGGAGGTATTCTGAAGTTTAAGTAATAATGTAGGTTTGAAACGTACCATTAAAGCAGATAAATTAAAATTACCGGTTTAAAATTTATTTATCTGCTAGCTATTTCCACGCGGTTTCACTCGCTCTGCTCAGCTCCTATTGGTTTTAGCGTGATGTTTTATTGCCTATAGCCGTCCACGATAAATGCGCTATCCAACACAAAAATAATTATTCAAATCAGACTTGTAGTTACGGAGTTTAGTGCGTTCAAACAATAAAAAAAACAAACTCTTCCGCTTTATATAATGGTATAAGATTTAAAACCTTACCTAAAACTATCATTACAGTTTTCTCCATTGCGATAGCTTAGGTCTAAAACTAAATCTGTGTACCTAATTACTAATTTAAACAAAACAAAATCAAAATAAGAGCACACACAAACTTACTATTAACTAAAACTAATGAAACAAAAAAAAAATACTTAAGTAAATAAAGAAAAATATAACAATAACATGGTTTGAAGATCAAAGGTAGTACTATGGTGGTCATACTTAGAATTAGAACAAATGTTTAAACGCTTACAGTTAGCGTAAACATCGGTTGTAGTTAATTTTAACTCGACGGTTAAATGAAAGGAATTTATATTTTTATGACGATGATTGTGTTAATATTATTGTTGGAAATTAAAATAAATGGGCGGTCTAGTTTGGGATATATGTTACCTTTTTTGAGGGTAGAAAATCATCCAATGACTGCTCTCGCCCGAGTGAGGCGAGCGGGAGTGTCAGACTTTTACTGACTGAAAACCACCCCGTTCCTACTCCTGAACTTCGAGCTGGAGCCCCGGCAACCCGTTAAGTCCTCCGCGGCTCCGTATCGGCATCAGCCCTATTGGGCCCTATCCGTGGTGGTCTGATGGCTCTTTCTGATCGGAACACGACGCGCCGTACGCTCGGGTCTGGTTCTGGTCGGGCGGCGAGTCACCCGTGCTCGCCGTCCGCATACCCGTGGTATATGTAAGTATATTCCCTGGCTAAGCAATTTAGTAGTTTTATTGTTCTATTAAATGGATTTTCTTTTCTACTTTTTTTGCAAATGCACAGAAACAATAGTTTGTGCGAACAGCTGCTGCGCAAATGTGCGAAATGATTTTGACTTTGACTCTTTTTTTCTATGATTTCTCCCGCCTTGGATCTCTATAGACCTCTCGCCTAAGAGGTCTGAATGTGACGTGTATGTAAATGAGTAATATAATATCAGTTTTAGGTACTCTAAAGACATGAAACTGCCTCTTAAAGGTCTCCCTAAAAGATATTGTATTGATATACAAAACATGTCGTGCAACAATCAGCCACTGGCATCCGATAGCTACCGGCTACCGGCACATACAGTACATTAATGCAGGGTGTTCAAACGGCTATCGGCAAACACAGTACATTAATACAGGGTGTCCGAACAAACATTTATCATTACACCTACTAAGTGTTTCTTCCGCCGGCAGTAATACCGCAATTGTACAATAATGGCCAAGTGATAACTGATCGAATGAACCCGCGGCACCGGGTTCAATGCCGAGTGATGCATAGCAGTCGCTTCCACTTGTATATTTAGATTGAGTAGGGTGTGAGTGCGTTAGAAGATTTTGTGGATCGTCTTGTTTTGAGCAGGTACTTACTGACTTATTTCAGTGACTTTAGGCTTTAGTTTGGCCAAGTATATCGTGCCGATTTATTACGCAAATGGATTAACAGAAGGTATTTTTTATTAAAATACAAATTTTGTCTATAGCACTATTACTTAAAGTTATTGCCTTACATGGGATAGATTCTCAGATCAGTGTTTTATAATATTGATACAACCAAAATTAGGCAGTCCTAATTCTATATTAAATAATAATATATGAATTCATTTTATTAAAATAATCAACATCATTCTAAAAATCAAAAACAAATCGTTTTAATCTCCCAAACAAATTCCCCACTTCCTCCACAAGATGGTCGCCCTACACATGTAAATGCGTACGCGCAATCGTTTGATGTGCCGCTGCGTTTGTTTGTTTACACGGCGCAGGCGCACCAGTGTGAAGCCGTTTGTTCTAACTATGGACCACAATTCGATGCTGTCAGTTACTTCCAGCTTAAAAATAAATATATCTTAGGACGACTTTGGGAAGCAAGGCAACGGTAGAATGGTCAAAATGTGTGGTTTTTAAAAATAAATTACTGCTCGGTTATTGGACCATCGACTTCTAGGCAAGGTGGCGCAGGTTCCATTCCTTCCTGTACGAAATTATTCTTTGTGTGATTACATTGTTTTGTATAAACAGCGCTCCCGTAGAGGTGCACATTACGTCACTTACTGTCACTGTACAATGCAATACTCCCTTTTTACTATTTTATGTTATGAGTCTCATGTAATAGGGGGTGTGCCTATGGCCATATACCGGGATTTTTTTTTAAATAATAGTAATTAGATGATGGACGTTAAACTGTTAAGATACTTGGTTTCTCCAGTCGGCAGCCAATTAAACAAAAAAAAATATATATCAATCAATACATAACTAGTATAAAACAAAGTCGCTTTCGCTGTATGTCCGTATGTATGCTTAGATCTTTAAAACTACGCAACGGATTTTGACGCGGTTTTTTTTAATATGTAGATAGAGTGATTCTTAAGGAAGGTTTGTATCAATACATAGTACAAAACAAAGTCGCTTTCGCTGTATGTCCGTATGTATGCTTAGATCTTTAAAACTACGCAACGGATTTTGACGCGGTTTTTTATAATAGATAGAGTGATTCTTAAGGAAGGTTTGTATGTATAATAAATGCATATTGCACCCGTGCGAAGCCGGCCGGGTCGCTAGTATATTATATAAGCCATGAAAAAGCATAAATTATACGAGGTTATCATTAGTATGTCAGGTACCTGACGTGCCAGGCCTATAAAACAGTAGTCATTCGGCCAATATCCGGCAGTGTGTGAATGGACAGGTTCAAACAAGTTTAGGCTAGTCCAGTATTCAATTTTAATGTGTTCTTTATTCTTGGTATTATTAACATAACTAATTATAAAGTATAGTAATCCGTGGTTACTATTTATTGTAATTGTAAGCAATTTTTAGCTTTGTATTAAATGTTAAGTTCCAATTTACTCGATCTGGAAGTTTTTGGGGAAGACTCATGACTTATGTTCAGCGGTAGAATAATTTGAAAATTGCAATAATATTTTCGAAACTTCTTACTTAATTATTATGTTTTTCGACGTACTCAAGTACTTAAATATTTGACGAGGAACTCATGGTTATGCGCAGCATTTTGCGACCAGCGATGCGGCGACTGTTGTGCTTCTACACCGTCTAGCATGGCTTGAAACCAGTCAAGTTCCTCGTCAAATAATTACGTGAGTAAGCCGAAAAACATAATAATTAATTTAGTATTTATCACAAAAGTTATAACATAAACTTATTGCTGTTATTACGATTCCAATCATCAAATCAAGGAACTAATTTAAACTCGGACCGGCAAGGAATAACTTATTGGTTTCTTTTCCAATTTCTAGATTTCATTGTTAAACTAATCAAAACCTTAGTTAAAATTCTAGCCGTTGTGCTTTCTCATGAGCACAAACTCAAACAAAAACTTAACTTCAAAACAAAAATAAAACTACATAGTTTTCGATAATGGATTCTCGTAAAAGTTTCGCAGAAAACATTCCCGCCAAAACACCCCTTTTATGTCAGAGACTAAAAACAAATTTAGTGAAGCGCTCCACAGATACTAATAACTGAAAGACATTTAGGAAATCCAAGATGGCGGGTGGCGGCCGTTACTTTTTATTTTAGAGGTCCTAACATGGAGTATAGATGTAAGGAGCGTATGCAAAAGGTGCCTAAAATAATAATTATTATGTGGAGTGATCAATAATTAAATATTATAAGTAACATGTCATATTATTTACAAAAAATACAAAAACGTTGTACTCTTCCTACCTACAGTAGCGTTACCAAATTTACAACGAATTTGATTGTAATTCCTTAAAATCTTAGTCCTATTTTTACTTTGATTGTGATAAAGAACTTGATAATTTTCGAACTAATGCAATTCAATGTGGACTTTTTCATTTCGATTCCCATGAAATATTGTAGGTACTCCATACCCTTCATACTCCATGTTAACCAAACTATCGTTTACGTAAGGTGAATTTAGTTTCATACGTGTGCATGTTACTAATGGAAACTTGTTTTTATAAGTATTTTCGACTCTAGCTAACTTTCCGTTGCCAATTTTTAGCAATAAATATACTACTTATTGTTATTGCAATTGCCTAACAACGTTTCCTAGAAATTCAAGATTTATTTGACTAGTACATTTTCTAACAGGATTTTGTTCTAGACCCTATTTTTGAGCCGCGGAGAACGTAACGGGTTACCGGGGCTCCGGCTCGAAGTGCAGGAGTAGCAACGGGGTGGTTTTTAGTCAGTAAGAGTCTGACACTCCCTCCCGCCTCACCCAGGCGGGATCAGTCATTCGATGATTTTCCCCCTTAAAAAAATATTAAAAAAAGCGGGTTAGTAAGTAAGACTCTGACCCTCTGAGCAGTCATTCGATGATTTTCCCCCCGTAAAAAAATAAATAAAAATACCATTTATATAACAATCTGTGATAGGCTAAGTCCACTGATGGACTATGAACCTCCTCTGTTTGTTTGTTTGTCTGTCTGTCAGTCCAGCAGATGAGAGGATCACAGGCCGTTAATGATGATGATAATGTTGATACAAATGATAAGTTATTTTAAGTTTTTAAGTCAATTTCAACAAGAAGTCTTTTCCCAAAAGCGTTGCTGGCAACTAATTCAAAC